CACATTATCTGTAGAGTCAAGTGAGGTATAAATGCACAAAAATAAATAAAATTAACATTTCCCTTATATTTTTAATGTGCACAGTGAGCATTCAAATTATTTCTAAGAAATATCCTTTCATTAATGCCCACCTATATAACAGATCTGGGGTAAGTAATGAACTTTTTTTTTTCTTTTAAGGTTTTTTTCTTTTAAGGACTCGTGCACTCACCTTTGGAAAGAAACAGAGAGAGATGATGAGAAGGAAAATGGGAAGTCTCTCCCCAGGGGTTGACCACAGTGTAATTCCTTCTCCTCCTGAGATTTTAGGCACACACACACACACACACATGCAACCAGCATGATTTTCAAGCCCCTGTGTTCAAGACTTGAATTGTGGTTGGCCATGTGGGAGTCCAGAGCCATAACCATTACATCATCTGCTGGCCCCAAGTTATGAACCTTTTCTGCAATTCTTCCTATCGTAACACAAGTTTTACTTTTTAATTAAAAAAGTAAAGTTTTTTTATAGAGAGATTTTTGCTATAGGATGTGTGAGCTCACCAGAGAGACACAGAGAGATGGAGAGACACAGAGAGACATAGAGAGAGAAAGCAAGAAATCATACCCTGGGGGTACAGCCACACTGCAATCCCTTCTCCTCCAATCTCCTCTCAGGATATTGGGTACACATGCACATGTGCCTTGCATGAGTTTTATGCTACTGGATCTGAGACTTGAACCGTGGTCAACTACGTGGGAGTCCAGTGATGTAACCATTATACCATTTCCTGGTCCCCCAAAGGTTTTAGCAAGAAAAAAGCAATACATGTCCATTGCAGAAAACTTAAAAAACAATGAATTTGTTTTCATAGTCAAATCCTGTAGCTGATTGTAATTTTCTTATGTATAGTATTCTCTAAATCTTGAAATAGTGCATGTGTCAGCCTTTCATTTTCTACTACATCTATTGTATTAGCCTTCTTACTGTTCTCAATTCACACTACTTAGCTGTCTATAGTACTGTTAGTATATTTTGAAAACTTCACATTTGACCATGTCATTCATTCTCTGTATATAATTCAATGATTCTAGGTCTTGGGATGCATACCAAATTATCATTTCCTGGGAGAATCTGATGTGTCCCCTGCTTTCTTTCATGAATGTGTTTCTCTCTTTGTTTATGAGTCAGCATCTTACTCATTCTTTAAGACTCAACTGCAGGGCCATTTCTTCTAGAAAGCAGATTTACTTGCTTGTTCCTCCCTACAAACACTGTACCTTCTATATATTTATACAATAATTGCATTGCATTAGAACACATAACTTCAATATCCACCTCATAAGACCGTAAACTTTTGGAGAATTATTTTATACCCTAGCACTTAAAATATTTACAATTTTGAAATAAAATTTAGTTTAAGATCTATCATTTTCAACCTGACCAAGCTAAATGGACTACCTAGAAAAGTTGGGAGATCATATATAATAAAAATAATGGTTCTAAAATTGAGTACAGCATAACAAAATAGCCTAATAAAAATAAAACTATAGGAAAAGAATGGGCTTCTACCTCCACCAAACAGAAAGAGTACTTTTGTTTTTACAAAGTTGTATGGGTTGGGTCAGTAGTCCCTACTGCCCAGGTCTGTGATGCTCACTTGTGCCAGTCATGCCAGTTGCCATCTTGTGCTTCGCCTCCAAAGCTCAGCATCCCCTGGCCCCCTCCCAGCTCAGACCCTGGCTGTATCTAGACCAGAGACATTAGAGTAAGTCAGGTAAACATGGCCACTGACTGGGTGGAGGGTTGACCACCGCCACCTATGCAGCCTGCAGGTTGTGATCACTGCCTGTGAGTAGCCCTTGCAGAGAGTGGGCTCAGGTAGGATTGTGAGGGGGACAGGAGAGATTTGGCAGGAACTTCTACTTTACATGCTTTCTACTTATAAAGGTAGAGGAACCAATCCCTGAAGCCACTGAAGCTCTGAAGGACTTTACTCCCTAAGTCTTCCTCCTCAAGGGGAAGAATGAGAAAAACTCTCTTCTCAAACTCCATATCCCAGACTCGCACTGTGAACTCCAGCACTTACACTCACAGAAGAAGGAAATGTATGGAAGTAACACACACACTGTAGGAAAGCACAAGGTCAAACAGTTTTTTTGCGAAAAACAAAAAACAAACATTGGACCTCTCACCCCTTCTTAACCTCAAGTTGGCAAGAGAACCTGTAGATGGAGCTCCACTTATAATCAAGTCTTCACAGTTCAACAGAGCAGAGTATGCAAAAGAGAGCAGCCCCACCACAACAGAGACTGAGAAATTTAGGAATAAACCCCTGTCTGGCAGGCAAGGTAGACATGTACTTTCCCTCTACCAGACTCAAGATCAGGGAAACGGTCACCTGCTCCAACCAATGCTACCCAGAGCACAGCATTTCTGAACCGCCCTGAGCTATTGCTTGTATAAGCTATGAAAGCCCTGCTCTGACACAATATGTAAAAACAAAGAAATATCTTTCCCCCAGAGGAACACAGTAACTCCCACTAGCAACAGATGAAACGCAAGCAATCACAGAATTGTCCAAAGAAAAAGAATTCAGTGTATTCATAATAACAAAACTCTATGAGATGCAAGAGAAAACAAACAATTCCAAGAGATAACATCATTCCAAGACATGAAGGAACAATTCCATAAACAGACATCCTAAGAAAGAATAAAATAGAGCTTTTGGAGAAGAATATAATACAGGAAATCAAAATTGCCCCCAAAAGTGTGAACAGTAGATTAGACCATTCAGAAGAATCTTTGACCATGAGGAGAAGACCACTGATGAAGTCCAAGCTATTAAAAAGAATGAACCCCCCCCCCAAGAAAAAACAAAGGAAGAAAAGAAAAATGAAAACAACATATAGGAAATTCTAGATACTACTAAGCTGCCAAATAACTGCATAATGAGTATCTCAGAAGGTGAAGAGATGAATAAAGGCAAAGAAAATTACTTTCATTAAATAGTATCAGGAAGCTTCCCAAATTTAGAGATATAGAGACATCCAGATCCAGGAAATGCAAATAACACCAGATAGGTTCAACATAAGAAAATCCTCTCCAAGGTACATCATAGCTAAATTGGTAAAAATCAGGACCACCAGTTAGCGTAATGGCTATGTCGCTAGACTCCCACGTAGTCGACCGCGGTTCAAGTCTGGACCGGGCAGCTTAAACTCAGGCCGGGCACGTGTGCGTGCATGTCCAAGATCCCAAGAGGAGAATGGAGGAGAAGGGATTGCGGCATGGCCATCCCCCCTGTGGGGTGATTTCTTGCTTTCTATTTCTCTGTCTCTCTCTGTCTTTCTGGCGAGCACACACGCCCTCTAGCGAAAACCTCTCAAAAAAAAATTGGTAAAAATCAAAGACAAAGACAATATTCTAAAAATGACAGAGAGAAACATCAAATGACTTACAAAGGTTACCCTCTCAAAGCTGATTTAAGACCTCTCAAATGAAACAATGTAGGCAAGGAAAGAATGTAAAGACATGTTTAAAATTATGAAATACAAAAAAATTCAGGGAAGAACACTACCCATGGCAAAATTATCCTTCAAATAGGAAGGAGAAATAAAATCATATCCCAAATAAATAAAAACTGAAAGTTTGATTAGCACTAGACTAGCTCTTCAGAAATACTTAAGGGAATGCTATGTGAAAAAAACAAAAAGGAGACAAATACTGGGTTGTCAGAAGAGTCATGATACATTTTTGCATAGAAAATGAAATGAAAAAAATAACTAAGAAAATGACTAACAAAATAGCAGGGATCAATCCTTAAATATCAGTAACAACACTGAATGTTAATGGATTAAATTTTCCAATTAAAAGACATACATGGCTGGGCCCAGCAGGTGGATTTATGTTTAGGCGCTGGACTCCTACATGGCTGACTATGGTTTGAGCCCCAGACCTGCTGGCTTGAAAATCATGCTGGGCGTGTATGTCCATCCAAAATCCCAAGAGGAGAATGGAGGAGAAGGGACTGTGGAGTGATCATTACTCCTAGAGTGTGATTTGTCATCTTCCTTCTCTCCGTTTCTCTCTCTGGTGAGCGTGTGTGCCATATGGGAAAGCTCCCCCGCCCCCCCCCACACACACCCATAAAAAATACGTATTTGATGAGTACCAAAATAATTAAAGGGTATTAAGTAGAATAAAGAGTTTATACAAAGCCATGTTATATTCTTTTGGGACTAGGACTTACTAAAGACAGGTTTAACAAAAGTTTACAAATACCTGTTCTTATAATATTAATTTTGAAGAACTTAATTTTCATGACTTTAATCGTATAACTGTGTACTCTGTAGCTTAATCATGGCAATAGCAGTTTAAACTTACATCTGTAACACTTAAACTAATTGAAATAAATGTTTTAAAAATTGAACTGAACAATCACTTCATTGAAAACTAAGCTAGAAAGAAAATCTTCACTGCCATGGTATGGCAAATATATTAAAATACACTGAATATGTTAACATAATAAAAATGTTATTATTAAAGAGATAATAAAGTTTCTTGAAATGTTACTCATAATTCTACTATCTTTGGAATTTTCAATACATAAGGTTTGCCTAAAATTATCAATGTGTCAAATGATATACAACTGCATCTAAATAATGTTCCAAACAAAATCTGATGTATAGAATTAGACAAAAGTGAATGAGCTGGATCCCACATGGCCAACCTCAGTTTGAATTCCAGCCCCAGCTAGAATGAAAGACACATGTGTGAACACGCCCAAAATTCTAACAGGATTGAGATATGGAAGAGAAGGGATTGTGGCATGATCAAACCCCATTGCAGGGTACTTTTCTCTACTTCCACCCCAGTTTCATCTCCTCTTCTCCCTCTCTGTCTCTCTCACTTTCTATGGGGCTCTCTCTGTCTCTGGTGAGCACATGTGACTTCTGGGGGAAAAAAAAAAAGTTAGACAAAAGTGGAAAAAATAATTACCAACATTTACTGGTCTTACCGATTAATATTCTGTTCTTCTGGATGCCACTTTTTACTTCACTATCAATCAAATCAGTAAGCACTTGACACATTGTATCAATTGATTCAAGGTGTTCTGGGCAATCATGCGATATTTTAAATCTGTCAAACCAAACATTAGAAATTCTTCCTTTTATAGGAGTATATGGCCTGTTAAAAACAGAAAAATAATAAGAAAATAATATTAAAATGAATGCTTTAGAGGTTTTTCAAAGATGAGGAAGAAGAGAACTGCACAAAAGATAAAGTTTATTGGTTGACAAGCCCTGCTTTCTCCTCATATAACAATAAAAAGTAGGGGTTGTTTTAAGCAAGAATACCACACAAAATACAGACAGTAACAAAGGGCCCATCATGACTTGAAAGAACTCTAACCCATGATGTTTCCCTTTGATACATGATTTGATACATCCTCACCATACTTGGTTCCCTCTAGACCAATACCTCTATTGTTCTGCCATCTCATTTAGCCATAAACTCACCCTCCAAAGTCAGTTAAATAAAAGCATGAAATGTGCAGGAAGACTAAAGAAAGGAATGCAGGGTTAAAAAATATCAGTTGAGACCTGAAAATGCTTTCCTATATCTTCTCTAGTTAAAAAAAAAAAAAAATCCAAATAAACCACAGTGTGAAGCTAGAAATACTCAATTTTCATTACCCCTGGGACCATGAAATCTTTTGGACCAAGAGGTTGTGCTCAAGGAAATAGGAGAATCACATCACACTCTTCTATAATATATTGATCACACCACTGCAAAATAAGTAGACATCCACCCAAGGTGCATAGGGGTGAAGGCAGCTGTATTTGGAAAATTTCTCAGGGAAATGAAAAGAAAGAAAGAAGCAGGAAAAGGGGCTCTGATGCAAACTTTCTATGTATTTATTTAATTTTTTTATTATTATTATTATTTTTCAATTTTGACTAGAGAGACAGAGAGAGAGAGAGAGAGAGAGAGAGAAAGAGGGAGAGAGAGAGAGGGAGAGAGAGAGAGAGAGAAGGAAAGCTAGAAAGCAAGCTACCAGATCTGGGACTTGAACCACTGCTGGCCACATGGGAGTCCAGCACCTTAACTACCATGCCACCTGCTGACCCTGGGGCTCTGATTCAAATTTAACAAGGGAATCTTGTTTAGTTCCTTGAACAGAATGTTATAAACATGATTCTGCAATATGCTTTCTAATATTTAAATGAACATAATGAATATCCCTGGAGATCAGTACTGAAAAACTGAGGATTTTTCCTGACATATTCTATAATAAAGCAAATATTTTATAAGATACATACAGTTTTACAAATATGGAGCATTTTATATATGTATATTTTTATATAAATCTTTTTCTTTTCATTTCTCTATTTCTCCTCACCCTTATACACTGTTCTTTTAAAATTTATTTATTCCATGAATGACAACGAGAGCTTAAGAGTGAGACAGAGAGAAAAACTCCCTGACAGGGTCTCGATGCTGTGAATCTTCCCCAGCACCAGCCAGCCTAGATTATGAGTGTGCACATGCCCAGTATACTCAGGGAGGTTTCTAGACACAAATTGGTAACTTCTCTATGTAGGTCTGCCTGACAGAGCTTCACACCTTACCAGTGCACTGCCGTCCCCTACAATACACACATCTTGTCCTCTACGATAGCTAAATGGTGTGAGTAATAATATACCCTCCAGTGCTTTTCTTACATATACAATATAGCATGCATATTTATAGGCTGCTTTTTAGAGCATTATGTGCTTTTCAAAATGAAATACATCTATCTGCTTTCTCATGTGCATCATGTTTTTCTCCTTTAATAATACCTCATGGGATCTTTCCATCTAATGTAGTTCTAACACTGTGATAAAGCTGTTTCATAATTTTGTCAGCCATTCTCCTACTATTGGGAATTCACTGAATACCCAACTTTTAGCCACTAAAAACAATGCTGTATTAAACACATAGGTATACTTTTTGAATGTTTTGGGACTTATTTATTCCTATGGAACAGTCCAAGAGAAAGGAAGATTGAAAGGCATAATTTATATATTTAATAGGTGTTTCAAAGTTGCTTCTGTAAAAGTTATAAAAATTCTTCTTGCTGTAAGAAAGGTAGGAGAATATACTTTTGCCCACAATACAATAACAGCAAGTGTTGACATACATCAAAATGCTACCACTTAAGGGTCTCAACTAAAGTTGTTTTTGTTCCTTTTAGAGAGCACAACCTTCTTGCCTCAGTCTGCAAAGTACATGAGAGTAAAAGCATACACTACCATGTCTGACTTTTTAGGGTGCACCGGGAATCAAACCTGGAATTACCATCTGAGGAGCAATGTCAATCAGCACTGTCTACCAGTGTGTGGCCTACTCTAGCTGGGCCAACAAAAGTTTCCAATCATTTTTATTAAGGTACAATTTTCATATTTAAGTACACATTTTAAGAATAAAGTTTAAGTACTCTTAACAATGCAGTCACAATCTCCACAAGGACATAGAACATGCTCTTCTCTCAGAAAATACCATCATCCCCTTTTGCAAGCAATTCCCATATACTTCTCAGACAACACTTGAGTGAATCTATCTATACTACTTAGTTCTGTCTATTCTAAACTCCTCATCAATGGAATTACTGATCGGTGTCAACTGCACTTTTTTCTTCTACTGAAGTTTCTTCCCTCTTGTTAAGTTTAAAAGAATACTTTTGTCTAATATTAACAAGTTCTTGTCATCTGTATTTCAAGTATTTTGTTTGTTTGTTTTGTGTGTGTGTGTGTGTGTGTGTGTGTGTTTGCCAGATAAAAAACTCTACATTTGATACAATGCCTATTTTCAAATTATAGTTCTGGTCTTCCTCATTTTCCCAATCCATATAGAATCCCAGATTTTCTAACATATTTGTTTTCATTTTTATATTTAAGACTTGATTTAAAAAAAAATCTGTTTCATAAATGGAGTGACCTAAGGATTCAAATTCATTTCATTTAAAATGGATAGGAAAAAAAGAAAGGACACCTTCTTCAGATAAAGATGAAATGTTACTTCCACCACATATATAGCTTTATACTTCTGACATTTATCTGGTCTCTTTCAACCTTGGTTCTGTGAAAGAATTAAGGTGCAATACCTACCTCACACACTATGTAAAATGACTTGACTTCTCTTCAATGGATCTAGAATGGTACTGTTCTATGCTGTTCTTAGGAAAATCAGGAAAATAATCACTCAGAACATTTTCTGTATTCTATGATTCAGGTGGAGCACTGTGGTTCAGAAAGGCTCTATTCTGTTCTATTATCAGTTAGTTTCATATTGACCATTTTACAGTGCATATTCTGATGTTGTGTAAGATAAGCTCCACTCCCTACCACCATCACCACTAATCTATTTTTTCCTTACTTGTCCTGGCTAAGTCTCTAGCATCCACTTTTCTTTATCCAAGTAATTTAGTCAAAAAATTAGAGTAAACTTTAAAATATTTACAAATAATTCTCCTTAAAAATCTATTTGGAATCTTAATGAATATTGCAGTAATATCTCTTAACATTTTATGACATAAACTTGAAGGAGGGCAGATCTTTACAGACTGAACTCTTAGGACTTCTCTCACATTGCTCTCAATCCAGGTTCTCAACTGATGCAGAAAAGATAAAATCCTGCACCAGTTCTTTCTGTGGACCCCTACAGAGCCTAAATTCCTTCGTTCCCATATGTGCTTTACCCCATAAGCTGTGTAGCTCAAGAGAGCTAGATAAATTGTAATCAGGAGAGGAGAGCAGGCAGAAAGCATTGAAGCCTTCCTCTTCCCAGAATCTCTTATTAGAATTTACTTCCTTAAATTAATTCCTACTCTAAAAATAAAAGCAGGTGCTTTCCACATAGTTATTGTCAAACAAAATGAATTTTCAAATTGTATTCAAATTGTCACTACAATAACCAAGAAGTTCTAAAATTAAAACTGAATATACAACACTGTGAGATTTGCATTTGATTGCTACTCTTGAATTATTTCTACTTTTCCATTTGATTCTGCTATTTCTCTAAGTACTTATTTGTCTGTCTAAGCACTTAAATAAGAATGATATCATAGCTAAACTGTGAATCATTCTGGGAACTCAGCCATTAATAGAAAAACAATGACATTCACTTAACTTTTTCTCTCTGTTAATGCATAATTAATTAGATAGATGCTCCACAGGAGTAGAACCCCAATGTTAATATTTTAGTAACATGGTAACTTTCTGTGCTCTCTGTTCTCTAAGAAAATTAAAATAATCTGTTTAAAGGGAATAAGTGGAAAAATTAATAAGATAAAAATAATTTAGAACTTTTTTGCTAAGAAAACATAATCAAGAATGTGTAAGTCTTCTAAAATGTTAGGATGACCTTGAAAGAGCATAAATGATTGTTTTTTAAGCAATTTTTTAAAAAACCTGGCACATATGTTATACTCATTCACCTTCCTTCTTAAATAAATAATTTTATTACCTGCTTTAAAACAGCTCAGACATTACCACATAAATAAATGTTTGGCAAAGAACATGTGTGCTACTAAATCAATCAATCAATCAATCAAGCCATTACACATTGGTAAAATATTAAGCTAGAATAAAATGTCCAAGATTTTTAGTTTTTTCTTTTTTAAAATTTATATTCAGCTTGATATTAACTTCTGTTTGAATCTGCATTCCATTAAAGTCATAACCTTTAATATAATAATCTGTCAGTCTTTCTCTTCCTAATTTTATATCACTGCCCCCCCCAGCATTCAGTAGATTCCAATTACATTTGCTTCTTTCTCTTCATCAAACAGAAAAAGTTTATTATTGATCCAGAAGGTTTATATCAGATATTCTCTCTGCCTGAAATGCTCTTGGCCATAATTCTGCATGGTAGGCTCCTACTGATCATTTAAGTCTCAGTTCAAATGTTGCCTTCTCAAGAGAGCATCTTGGATTCCCTAATTTGCAAGTACAAACATAAACAGACTATCCCATTAGCCCATTTAACTGTCTTAATAGCACTTATCACAATGTGAAATTTACATTTTAAATTTATGTTAATTATATTGGATTTCTCTTTTGTTTTCAGTTCCTACTTGAGGTCCCAGAGAGCAGGAACATTATCTTTTCCACAGTAGTGCCAAAACCAAAGCCCTTCAGACAGTA